CCTCCCAGAGGTTCCAGCAGCGCTAGACTCTTGGGCTCTCATCTTACCTTCTTCTCTCTGGATCACTGCACACACACCACTTTTTTCTGTAGTGCTTCTCAAAGGCTACTGTATCATACATATAACCAGTTTCCAGGTATTTTTTAACATCTGAAACGGGAATTTAAAACCTCTTTGTCTCTTCCACTGATCCACTCTTCTAAAAACGTCTTACACTTGCTTTCCTTACACCTGCTTAAATTCTGCCTCTTTATTTGTCCTCATCCTTTTGTTTCCCCTTTTCTTTAATGTTTTTCTAATTAGTATTCTCCCTTTGTTCCATTTTAACATGGCACTTGTTTGTTAGATATGAAAGAGGGACATTTTTAATGAGCTAACTTTGAAGACTGTGATCACGCTGAGTCAGGACTGTTTTTCCTGCTTCTTTCTCTCTCTCTCTCTCTGAGACACCTGTCTGTTTAATCTTTCCTCACACTGATCCATATGACCTCCCTCATTTTGTATTTCTTCCCACCCCATCTTTGAGTTGGAACACATGGCTAAAAGAAAGCCAATATTCAGTGATAGGAACTTATCAGGAATAAGGAAGGGAAAATGAAGAAGGGGGGTGGATGTTAATGTTCTTTTAGACCTTGGTGAGTATTGCTTTGCTGTCCGTATGGACAACAAAGCAATGTGTCCGCCTCCCCACCCACATAACTCATCCTGACAAACAGAAATACAAACACTCATGCACAGGCACACATGCACACACACACACACAGACACGCACACAGACTCTGAGATGATCTGTGAAGTTTTCTGGAGCCTGTCTCATCTTCTGTCTATCCTTTAAGCTTTGCTCTGCTTCCTCACTAAATGCATAGTGGGCTGCTGGGGTGCCCGATCAGAATGATAATAGGACTAGTAAGAGGTAGGCAGGAATATATCTTTGTAGTGCTCTAAGGACAACAAAGCCAGCCCATGTCAATTCCAGGTTTTGTGTAGCACGGCGGTTGCTTAATGATCTTAAACATGTCATACTTCCAATGATCCAGCCCTCTGCACACAGCTGCTGCTTCAACAGGGCTCACCGCTTTGCTAATGACCCCACTTATTCCCACCACGGACGGCTGTCTCTGCTTGTCTTTGGTAAGAGGTTTGCAGCATTCAGAGCAGAACAGTTGGATTGTTTAACAGGTTCCTCCCCTGCTATTACCCACGTGTGCAAACACTCTCATGTCCCTTTGACAACCCCTTAGTCCTTCTGCTAATGTATTATATTATTAATATTTGTAATTGCTATGAATACTTTTTAAAATTTACAATTATTTATTATGTTTTTTATTTTTCCATCTGTCTTTGTGATTAAGATTTATGTTTCAAAGTATGTAGCCCATTATGTTGCTCCTCACTTTTTTGTTCAGACGCATGTATTTTTTGCTTTAAATTTGATCATGCTATGGATTTCTTTACCTCTGCCCTCTCTTTTTCAATTAACCAACTCATTTTTAAGCCCCTTTGACTCCTCACTGTTGAAGTCCCATTGCTCAGCTTCACTGTATACAAGCCTCTACTTCATATTAGTTAGTAAAAGCTAAGTAAAGGCTCTTTTGAAGTCTCCGGTGGTCGTCCATTGAAAGAGTGGACTCATTATTGTGTGGAGCTTTCATGAAAAGTGAAAGGGAGGCTAATGAGCCTTTAGATCAAACATGCTGTGGAGACTCCCATTAAATACAACACGGGTCTCCTGAGTTTGTTTTTACTAAATTCTAGTAAATTACCAAAATGGCTCCTTTCCACATGCCTTTTTTGATGGGTTTTCATGCTTGACTCTTTGGTTTAGAGCTCACCCAATAATAGGGCTGTTCTTATCACAGTTGATCGATAATGTCTCTATGTGTATTTACTTGACAAATAGATGTATACAGCATAGATATAAAAGGTGTCTTTGCTCACACACCCATTCTCACTCTCCCCATGTTTCCCAGAGGGGTGAAGAGCCTTGCCAAAGCCCAGTCATGAATTTTTAAAAGCTTTGTCTGTCTGTAAGTGTATATTTGCAGATGTGTGTTCATATATAGCCAGTGGAAGGGGAAATTATATTGTCAAACAAACAACATTTTTCAAAACAAAGTGTTTCTGTCAGACAAATTGCTTTGGAAATTATGTATGATGTATAAAACATACAAGAGCTGATGCTTATACTCCTTACATATAGCAATGTGGAGGAACAGCTATTTGTGCGGTTCTGAATTTAAGAAATTTAGTTTTTATAAAAGGATTTATGTAAGCTTATCAAACCTAATAGCATTGAAATATCATATGATGTCATATTATGGTTGATGTACGACATCAGCTTAAAAAAATACTTACCTGCACAGTGTCCCTAAGGTAGTGCATTATCAGGCATAAATGGCTGAGTTTGTTCCATTCAGATGCCCATGGATTAGAGTAATAGAGAACCATCTTAGTGCTGGAAAAAAATGAATTTCTGTAGGAAATAGTCATAAGAGCAGAAGAATCAGCAACATACATGGTATCAGCACATAAATAGAGCTCTTAAGCAAATGCGAATAACCATAAGAAACAGTATCTTTACATAACAAACGTCTGTGTATGTTTAGCATTTGACAATCACAAGATCGAGAAACCAAATTTGGATGCTATTTTAGTACATGAGATATATCACTTAGATAAAGTCATCATTACTTTGTGGTTGTGTTTGAGTGTGTTTGGTTGTTTATGACTGGATACGAATTGAATATCTAGCCGTCGGTATCCAAAAATAGAGGAGGTTGATATGGGTCTGGAACAAATCCAGAGACTAGAGGCCCAAAGGATGGCACTAGTCAAGAAAGGAACAACTGCAGGCAGAAGACACAAGGCCATAGAAACAAATATACACATCCGCAGCCACAAACACAGATGGACGGATACTATAAACACCTGATCCAGATCTGACATTCCTTCATCACGGTCCAACAGATACAGGTCACGGGGAGATGCAGTTCCAAATGTGTATTTTTGGTACATATCCAGATTGCTTTTAACAATTCTAAATGCTTTCCTGGAGGGAGTTTGTCTATATCAGCTGTAACACAACTGCTGTGAGAGAGATATAAGTCAGAATGATTGTTTTCTTTACCAGCGTTCCTTTTCTCTGTGTGGTTGTCATTACCCAGTAGACACCATGGCCAGGTTTATCTTATTCATCTACAGATTTGCCTGGTTGAACATGGAGGCCTACACCCGATTTCTCTAAAAGTTCCTATCTCTTTTTGCTTCTTCTTACTAGCATATATATATATATACAGTATATATATATATCAGTGGCGGGCCGTGCATTTTACACCTAGGCCTTCAGTAGTGCTCCGTCTGAATCAATTCACCCCTCAATAACTATTTTATGGTTATAGAAATCATCTTAATATGTAGAAATACAGTAGGGATGTCCCGATCCAGCATTTTGTATTAAAGTTGATTTTTTTTTCTACTTACTTAGTTGTCAGACTCATGTTGAACAGGGATTTACTCTTATAACAACTAAAGTTTACACAGACCTGTGGGTTAGGAGATGCTAATGCTAATGCTAATGCTCGAGTGGGATCGGACTTTAAAAAAAAAATGTATCTGGAGTCTCGATTGGCATTTTCTCATGCCGGCCGATACGATCCAAATATCGGATCAGGACAATCCTAAAATACAGTCTAAAGATCAGGGGTGCACAAGTCTTCTACTCCTGCAGCTACAGCTGCGATCCCCCCCCCCCCCCCAAAAAAAAACAAAAACAAAACAAAAACATCAATAATGTCCTCATAAACTCGCAATACCATTTAGGAAAAAAACAACATTTTACTCACTTACTTTTCTTGAAAAGTCCGTTTTGAAAATGGTCTTGACAGTAAATCCGCCACGAAATAATAAAATAGCTATTACACTAACACAACTATATTTCGGTTTGTTTGCTAGCTTTGCCCTGATTGGATATCTGACTATCCAATCAGCAGGTGTGGGTACGGTGGCATTTCCTGAGCCTTCGCGCAGGCCCTGGCATCACCAACCTAACATCTGATTGGTTGAAGCAACAGTGTACTCGACATGTATTTTCTGTGGGGGGGGGGCCTGCAGAACGGATTGTGAAGGCCTCCAGGCAGACATCTTTGACTTTGACCCTGCCTAGCGACAAAGGATGTCTGAAATGTGATTGGTTTAAATGCTTTTATATGAAAATACATGTCTGGAAGCAGCGCAACCAGGGGAGAAGCTATGAAAGGAAGCTGACAGACTATTTAGAGATATTTAATACCTTTTTTATGGACAAAATATCATTAACATCAGTCTGTGATTCAGATATTTTCTTAGGCCTTCAGAGAAGGCCTTGCAGGCCCTGACGGCCCACCACTGATATATATGTATATAAAGTATCAGGAACATGAAGTTCTTAGATTTGCAGGTATGTGTTTATTTTATGCTTTTACCTTGGATTGCTTGTATTTTAATCATGCAGCTCTCTATTGTGACCTTTATTTCAATTATTACTCCCATTTTGAATATACATTTGCAGATTACATGGATGAGTAACTGTAAAGTTCAGGTTAGGAGCATTTCTCTCTTCTTTAGCAGTATCCAGTTTGATTGACAGTTTCTCAGTGGGTAATCCATTTGCTCTTGACTTTATCCTGTGATCAGCTGGCTGACCCCAGGATCGTCTTCATTTTGCTCTTTATTTCACACTCTCTGTCTTGTTCACACTGTCTAATACACACCCACACACAGATGCACAGTTTGGTACATTTCAACCTTTTCGGTCTGACATTCTGAGACACCACAGTGTGGCCTTTAATGGTCAGCGAGCTCTGAAAGACTGTGATAGCTCTATGGTCTGAGCTTTACAAATTATACTGAAATCATCTGTTGTCGCAATATTTTTTAATTTGTCTGTAGCACCCTTTTTTGCACCTGACCTGATAAAAAAAAACTTATGGTAGTCTAAATCCTGACCTCGTTTTCCTCCCCAGAAATTGGCCTCAGCTGCTGAAGTGTTCCAGATGGAGCATGGGTGGAAAGATGAGTTTGAGGTAACAGAACACACAAAAAACAAGAAACTCCGCAACACATGCACTGTTAAATTAAAGAGAAAATAAAACATTGAAACAATCACAATGCAAAAAGTTGCGCCTGTAGTTCATATCTAAATGTACTTTTGTCTGAATATGTCTAATCTGTCATTTTCAGTGGTGAAGGGCTCCACCAAACTGTCTTCACTGTGGTATTTTGTATTAAATGTGTTAATGCTCTTCAAATTGCAGTAAAAACACACTCCTGCTGCTTTACAACTGATGGATAAGAAGAGCATATGTTTTGAAAAAGGAACACTCATCTCAATGTTACGGGTTTTTTGTTTAACTGGGAGCACCTGCTATTCTCATAAGCATCATAAACGGATAATTGAAATTTATGGCCAATTTATGGCCTGCCAAGAAATAAACACACAAACATTTTAGAGAAAGGTGAAGCTTTTCATGATAACAAAAGGTCAAAGTTCTTCATATAATACCTCAAACATCCTAAATGAGTATTTCTGCTTCTTTCTGGTTTGTTTACAGGATGATGAAATTGCCTACTACAATGCAAAGGACAATGTGAGTGTTTTTTTTTTATTATTCTCTCTATTTGCCCTCCCTTCATTTAAGCCCACACACAGATCACTTGGAGACATGGACCAGTAATAATGCTTTTTTACACAGCACTATTCTTATCTTGTCCTCTTCACTGCCTCATCCTCTCCTCTGTCCCTTATTTTACACCCAACATCTACCTATTTTGCATGCTTTTTTCCCTATGTCTTTGTATCATTGCCTGAGATTTTCACTTAAATCACCCCTTTCTGTGCCTCATTCCAGCTTTTCTTCCCATGTAGCTTCCCCTCCTGCCGTCTTTTCTCCCACTATCTCCCAGGTGAAGAGGTCTCTGCCATGTTTCTCCACTAATTGACAGATGAGATGTATGAGCTGGCTACACTGTTGCTTTATTAGGAAGCAAGTGTTCACACTACCACCCCCCTCTCCTCCTTTCTTTTTCCTTCTCTCAACACCTCACTACCTCTCTTCCCAACATTCTTTCATATCTTATCATGGATACCACGTGTATCTCCCTATCTCTAGTGCCCTCATTGATATAAATTGGCAAATATGCAAAAGGCCTCACACATTTCTACAAAGACAATCTTTCCAACTTGTGAAGATATAGAAAAAAATAACACTAGGCAAGAACTTGATGATGCTTTGTTTTCAAAATGAGCATAGAGGGTGCAAAACTGGCTGTAATGATGTAAATGTGATGAGACTGGCATTCTTCTACCATTAAATTATTTTGTTGGAGGCCATACATCAGCAACAATATAAATAAGCTTGGTTACATTTTCAACCTGTGGTCGAACTATTAGCTGCATCTTGACCCTTTTTTTCTTTGCAGCTGGATGCAAATGAGACCGAGGGAAGAAAATGTAGGATTCGACCAGACTTTAAAGAGGACCTGCTATTTAAACGTTTGACTGATCACAACCACACAGCTGTCCACATCCCCACTGACATCTATGATGGCTGTGAGTAAAGACAGACATACACGCACACCTACTCTGATCCAAGTGGTAACCATGGATACCACTGACACATCAGCCCATTATAAAATGTTGTTTACAGCTTGTGCCACTACCTAACTTGCCCCAAGCTAAATAATGGATTTAAAAATAAGTGAAACAGTATAATGGGATCTTCTCCAGGCTACCACTCTGTCAGCTGTCTGCAAGCCCACTGTGACCTTGGGGTGCGAGGAAGCAGAGGGTCTGTTATCTGAAATGGGTTGATGTGTGTATTGATGTCCATATTTCTTCTTTTTTGGAAGAAAGGTTTGGACGGTATCCATGTTCTATTGTTTTCTAAATATAGAAGGAGTTCTGTGGGTTTGCATGAGAAAATATCATATCATAACACGCATTGCTAAAAACCTATGTATGATTTGAATTTGCACCTGTGACCCTTCTTAAGATCGACTCTGACATATTCCTGTTTTGTAGGGTGAAATTTTCTTAAGAATGCATTGTTTTTTAGGACGTGATGAACATTTTATTGTTGTTTTGTGCTTATATTATTTAAATACGTTTTCATTATTGCTGTATGAACTATAAGTTTTATCTTGTGATTTAAGTTTATTGTACTACAATTAACCTACAGGATTTTAATGTTTTTATTTTATTGCTTTATGCATGAGATCTTTACAGTCAAAGAAAATTTACTCCACAAGGCTTATCTTCAGCAGAGGTTATGAACTACAAGATTACTTGCGAGACTTAACCTGGATTCTAGATTCAATAAATCCATCTGTCAGACAGACAATATTCTGGTTGTTAAAACTATATTATACACAGCACTAGCAGCTTCTGGTCATTCTGTTTAGTACGCCCTATTGTTTTGGGAAGCTGGTAGTGTATTTCCGTTGCTCCTCTCCCTTGAGGCTGTTTTATTGTATGCTGGAAACATCAAGGAAGCAGTGGTGCTGTCATAAATTTGTTTAGGCAGTAGTTTTTTTCACCTTACCTCCAGTTGTTGTTTTTTTTTAATGATTTTCTTCTGGCTTCCCTCCTTGACCTCATCTCTTGTGCTCTTACTGGCGTGCAGCTCACAACATGAGCCGCTCAGATTGTCTTTGGAACGTTTGCACCACAGCTCTGACGTGTGCACCTGCCGTCCTCACAGGGACACGCTGGAAAAAAGGGTGTTGAGGTTTCTGCGGTTACAGAGTGATGGTGAACCGTTTTTTTTTATAAAAGCACATTTCTGATCATTTTATCATGATGTGGTGGCATTTACCTTGAGTGGCTCAGAAAAAAGGTTCTCTTGAGTCTCCGTGACATTAGCACAGATCAAGCTGAATGTCAGTTACTGAAGGCCAGTCTGCTGAATATCTTTACTGTTGTCTGAAGTGTACGTTATTCAGGCCACGAGCTGTATGTATTAGGACTTTTTTTCCTTTCCTTTTCTAGATCTCTTTTTAGATTTTAAGATCTGGGGTGATTGTTCTATGCTGTGTCCAAAGGAGAGCTATATGAGGCTATATGAGTGTTTTTTCTCAAGGATATAACCATTACAACAGCAATTAAACTATGATTTTGGTCACAGGATACATTTACAAACCACTTGACTGTTTCATTGCATGTATTCTTTTCCTGTGATTATGGGAGACTGAAGATTGCCTGCTTTTGTTTTAGGGAAATAATTACTGTAGAGCGGAATGTAGTGCGTCAGCAGTGACATGAAGGGGCAGCAGGATGGAGAGACTTCCTCAGCAGGGTTTCAGCCTGCTGGGGCACCGTCTGGCTCCACGGTCACGTTCATAACCTTTCTGATGACCCCAGACACAGAGGCGGGGACATGTATGGAAATGGACACGTTGGGTTTTGTAGAATGTAGAACTTCAAATTTGGTATCTTCTGAACTTGTGATTTTCAACATCTTAATGGCTGTAATCTGAGCAGGGTACCATGACACAAAATAGTCTCTTCATCTCAAAAGTACCTGGTAATGACAATGCATGGAAGCTCTGGGCTTTGAAGCCCTGTTTATAACTAACGGCAGTCCACTCCGTGCAAGTTTGTTTTGAGATTAAGATTAAATTCTAGGATTAATGTGAGTGAGATTTTTGAGTCAGAGTAAAGAAGCTTTGAGGTGTGGTTGTAATGAAAACAAACTAAAGAATTAGCATATTCAGAGGAACTTGGAAAATGGAAAGATATGAACGCACATAAAAGAGAAAAGAGGCAGAAGGCGCATATGTTCTTGAGGTTTGAACTCTCCGGTTTTATCACTCTCTCTCTATAAATGTTCCAGGAATAGCTTTTGCTCTAGTCGGGAAAATTGGATTTCTGGATAAAGTGGGCGTTGAGTTTATAAAATCAACAGCACGTGCGTAAGAGGAACATGGGACAGGAGAGAGACATTCAGATGACAGAGTTCACAAATATCAAATCTGTTTGTCCACATCAAATGACAGAGCTCTTAAAGGTGTGAAAGAGACACTGATAGGGATAGAAAGAGAAAGAAATTGTTCAATTTAGTGCTTACAGAGACAGGAACTGGAAAAGAAGAATAATATCGGAACAGTATGTCTGGCTATCAAACCAAGGTTTTTGTTTAATTCTGAGGAGTTTTAACTATAATATATGTGATGGTATATAACTGATTAAATTAAAAGAACGAAACAGACAACAGAAATGTTGATAATGAAAGGTGCCAACCAGCATAATCACCAAAATATTTTTCTGCTACTGGAATAACACAAACTATTGCAGTGATAGTGAATTATCTCATTTTGAACACAGCAATTCAAATTAAATAATTGTGTGGCAACAGAGGACCCCGATAGTTGGACTACCATCAGTGAAGATCTCTAATAGAATCGCTCCATCAGAATTCCGTTATACTACACAATGACAATAATGTGTTTTTTCTTGTCTTGTCTAAACAGTATGTAATATGTAATGTAATGTTTCAAAGTAAATGGCCAGAATTGGGGATGCATATTTGAGATGTTTATGCAGACAGCGCTGTGATGTCATGTTTAGTCGAGCTGCTCTGCCAAAACCTTGACGACAGCATTTGACCATTACCCTGTTAGACAGCAATTTTTCTAATTAGCGTGACATGGGAAAGGTGATATTTTATGTGCTATACATTTAAGCCTTTGAGTTTACATTTGTCAGACGACTACCTATTGTTTCTAAATGCATTCTGTCTGGGCCAAACAAAAGAAACTCCTCATTAATGAGGAGTCTTGATAGTCTTATAGTTAGATGCTATAAGGAATAGGGACAGAGTTCTGAAGAAGAAGCCTTTCATCTGATGAAAAAAAATCTGGTAATGAGCATCACCTCAGTCAAACACACCTCAGCACACACAAGCTGAGTGGCTTGAGTGTGCACTGAAATTGAATCTGCTGTAAATTGAGTGACATAAATCTGTTCTAAGTGAGCATAACATACTATGGAATATTTAAAAGGATAACTAATTAGAGCTGGAATAAAGGCATAAAGGCATGCCTTTTGAATAAAAGGTGAAACCTCTTGAAGACCCAAGAGGAGGTCTGGTTGTCTTAATTTTTACCCTTAGGAAAGTTAATTTATTTCTTATTTATTGTTTTAGTTTAAAGAAATGTTTATGTATTATATTAATGGTAAATAGAATAATTAAACTTTTCTAGCGAAACATGACGAAATTACCTCTTCATCCTCTAGAGATCAATATTAATTCATTTATCAATTATATTGCACCTGTGATGTCCCACACAGAGAAAGTGATTAGTTGATGTAGAGTCAACGTGACATCAAAGCTATATTCTGTGCAGCAAGGGAGTTCATTAGTGTCAGGGGCAACATGGGCAACCGGAGTCGGTATCCCTTTTTGCTTGCTTAATATTACAACTAAGCCAGAAGTGCTGAAAACCAGTGGAGGCAATAAAGAAAAACATTGCTTGCTCAATGTTTTTCCCCTTGCTTGTGAAACACTTTCCATGATATGTTTGTGCATATCTTCTTAATGTTGGCAATCAATGGAAATGCAGCTGTTTTAATGACAAATTGCCTAACTTGCAAGTGGAAAAATGACCCATATAACCTATATTCATGCATTTTGACTCAAAATCAGTATAAACACATTTATGAACATGATCTCAGAGTCTAATAAGGGCTGTGGTGTTATTTTCTGCCCCTCTTACATTAGAATTCTCAGCTTGATGTCAGAAATACACTAATTGAACACACATGGAAGGCTTTTTCCATCTCTCTCTATACTGTAATAAAATACATGCACTCCTGGCAACCAAACCTTCATTAGCTTTCCCCTCAAGAGACATGCATGCAAATGAACAGTGTTCGCCTTGCACATCAATGAGCCATGTCGCACACAATACAGGATATTATTGTCACCCCCCCTCACACACACTGACACACACACACACACAAACATATCACACTTTACATATTTACCCCTAACACAAAAAACACATATGTTTGTACGGTAAAAGAAGAGATTGAAGATGATTAGGTAGAAAAGCAGTAGACAGACAGACAAAGGAATGATACAATTGAAGCAGCTCGCGTTGGGTCTTCATCCATCATGTTGAGGCTTTTGTGGCTCTCAGCCGTCTGGTAGCTGTGCCTTAAATCCATTATGTCTGCTGTCTCTCACCACTTGCACAATCAATCAAACGCATACACCTATTTAAACAAACTTATGTCTGGTTGTTTCAAGTAAGATTAAACACTGTTTAATTTTTGTCAGAGCAATTTCCTGCTTGGATACTGTTCCCTGGTATTTGTGGCTTAAGCAGACACCTGCTCATGTGCCAAACAAATGTTTGCTCATATGTCCTGCTGGGCAAGACAAGCCCACACAGAGTGAGGCTGTGACTGAAACTTAATGAATGTGCTTGGATGTCGATTGCCCTTATCTATTTGGAGTGACATTCTGACAGGAATGAGATGTCTAAATGAGTGCATATAGAGACGTGCATTAAAGTGTGTACAGTAGAAGCTAAATCAGATGACGGTAACATGGTTTAGTGCAAATGGATTTTGAGATATCCTTCATTGACAGATGTTTTCATTGTGTAATCATTTTAGGACGTTATACAACAAAGTTCAGTATGTTTTAATGTTTCACGTCTGGTTAAATTCCAAATCTTGTTAAAATGTTAAAGAAAGAAGAGAAAACAATTTGTATCTTGGTGTCATTTGTAAGCGGAGTTTTCTTTATGGAAAAAACATCAACTCCATTGACCTCTAATGTACAGCTTTCAAACAGCATTAGCTGACTTTTAACATATAATAGGTATTTGTATTTTTTTCTTTGGATTTAGCTACAATTGTGCTGAATGAGCTTAACTGGACAAAGGCGTTGGAGGATGTCTTCAAGAAGAATAGAGAGGATGATCCGACCCTGCTCTGGCAGATTTTTGGAAGTGCTACAGGCCTGGCTCGTTACTACCCAGGTAAAAAAAAAGAAAATGTTTTTTTGTTTTTTTGGCTCTGATTGCCTTTTTCTTGGTTCTTTTACCACACTAAAAGTGACCTTACTAACATTAGAAAGCAGCTGTTTCAGTTCCATGCGCACATCTTAAAGTAATATCTTATCCCAGTCCTCCCTCCTTATTCTTCTCCAATAATTAAAGTGAGAATGGAATTGGTTACAATGTAGATGGCGTGATAAATATAGCATTCTATACAACGAGCCAAGTGTCATAAGAATGTGTGGTCTACTGTGTTTGACAATGACTCACTCCAGAGCTTAATATAATTTTGTGAGTTAGACATGTCAGAAAATAAACAAAAAATAGCAATTACTTGTCATTTTTTATAATTACTCTATCGTACCAGTCTTTATATACAAATGTGATGTGATTTTGTTTTATAGCTTCTCCATGGATGGATGCTCGTAAGACTCCCAGTAAAATTGATCTCTATGATGTCCGCAGGAGGCCGTGGTAATGAAACGGGTCTTAGTACATACTGACACACTTATTCAGTTTTAATTAGGATTCAAAGCAAAATATGACTAATATTATTCAAATTTTGGGTGATGCTGTTTTTCACTCATCAGGTACATTCAAGGAGCTGCCTCACCCAAAGATATGCTTATCCTTGTAGATGCGTGAGTAGCTTGATAATCTCAGACATCTATGAATTTCTTAAAGTAGTACATTTATTATTTTATTTACCACATAACTTAATGTATTACCAAATCAAAAGTAGTTTTTGGTTGCATTTAGTAAGGAACTTAGTAACCACTGTAGTGTCAATCACACGATTTGTTTTCTGTTTTTCTTTTTAGGAGTGGTAGTGTGTCTGGTTTAACTCTCAAGCTGATCAGGACATCTGTCAGTGAGATGCTGGAAACTCTGTCTGATGATGACTACGTCAATGTTGTTTATGTGAGTATTATTAAACCCTCCACCCACTGAATGTGAAGTGATTTGTTTGTGTGAGGCTACCAGGGAGATCCAGCCTGAGAGGGAACTATGGATGCACATTAAATGCGTGAAGGGGCTTGAGCATATATTCTCCTTTTTAAGAAAAATGCACATTTTGATAAAGTTTTGTATCTGCACATATGTATACAAACGTAACACTGGCCCGTGCAGACTTTTACCTAAAAGAAGGCAGTGAGGTGGATAATAAATCATGGGATTTGGATTTCTCTGAGGTCTGGTCAACCTGACACAGGCCTTTTTAATGAAATATCCACCTCTCTATTTGGTGCTCAGGATTAAAACTCTGCTCAGACTTCCTGCTAGGGATGCTAGTGTGGATGTCCTATCTCGCTGCCCCTAAAGAAAAATGAATGCTTTGCCTCTGACTGCTGTGCAGCCAAGGAAACAGTAATCCATCACACTTTTTTTATTCCTTCATCACTTTTTTCTTTCATCATAAAGTTATGGAATTCCTTTCAGCATTTTACTATATACCCTAAATTCATCTTTTTGTGCCAAACTGACACAAAAGGTTTTTACACCCGGTATGCATCTTCTCCTCAATACCAAATCTTTTGTCCCATCACTTTCAAATTTATTTTCTTTAATTGTTTATTTTCCCACCCACTGATAAATTCCAGCATTCTACCACTGCATTTTTCCTTATACTCTGGGGGCACTCTGTTTGTGATTACACTCAGATAGAGGCAATCAGGGGTTGTTTGATCTGTAGATGTCCACCTGTGGAGGTGGCTGTCAAGATGGGTCTTTATAGAGATTGGAGCTGTCTCTGTTCTCTGTGCACAAAGGAGCAAATCAGACTCTCTTTCCCCTCCATGGGGGCCTTTTGTTTTGGACACAATGTCTTCCGTTGAACGGTAGATTTGTGTTTCTACATAGATGTGAGATTATCAGAATCTGTCCGAGAGCCAAGTTTGCATCTGTAGGAGTGTCTATGTTTCCATATGAGACGTTTACTTAGAGAGATTAGTTCAAAAAGTAGAATTCAGTTAGATTTTTATATAACATATTTTTATAGCTTTATGTTTTCAGAAGAATGCTGATGGTTATCTTTGCTTTTGAATGGACACCCCCTCAGAGCAGATAGTGAGTTGGTATTTTGTTTGGCATCATTGCCAAACAGCATAAGTTTGGTCTTGTCTTTCCAACACAGCACAATTATTTTTCTAATGTTATTATCACTAGCGCTCTCCAAAGATAAAATACTATAAAATAAGAAGAGATAAAATTGAAAAAGATGAATTAAACAACAACGGTCAGACATTGTTTGTTCCTCAGCAGAATTCACTGTTATTGTTCACTCATTGTACTCATCACTCATTGATTCACACATATATTCACTCAGAGGAGTATGGGGGGCCTCAAAGGTGTTGTTACCTATCAATAAATCACAAGTCTCTGATATTACCCATAAATCATTAGTCTCATTAACATTTGCCCAGGGACTATTTTGGCATTTTGGAATGGAAGGTGCCCACACTCAATTTTAACAGCCAGGCAGGTCAGAGGACTACTAATTACATTTTTTTTTCTTGTCCTCTCCTGTCTGTCTCATCTTCTCTGTTATTTTATTAGTTTATCTTTTTGTCCCTCTTGCCTCGAACTCCTACCTTAGCAAACTTCCATCATTTTCATGTTGCCTGTTCAGCCATGTTAGCTGCTGTCAGTGTTGTTAGCCAGTGCCACTCCAGTGGGCAAAATGCAGCAGAATTAGCAGAGCAGTCCGGTGGGATTACAGACTGAAGATTAGCCGTCTCTGCCGTGTCATCGCTAATCCATTCACAAGGCCTGGACCTTAACACACATAAATGCTGTTATAATAGGATCAAAACAGAACAGTGGAATTTCTAGTAGGTTGCTTTCACTCGTATGACTGAGGCCAAAAACACTGGCAAGCAAAACAAGTCAGTGTTTTTTTCAGGTGTTCTTTATCAAAATTGTCTAATTCTGTACAATCAATCTTTCTACTAAATAGTTATAATCCAACCACATGATGAATGTGTCACCTCTACAACATGAGCTCATTGTGTTCCATACATCTGTTCGTGTTCCTGTTTTGCATTCACACCTTCCCACCTTCCCACCTTTCTTTTTGTGTCCTCTTCCTCTCATTTTCTGATATAAGCAAAAAAAAGATTAAAAGTGTATTCTCATTTTTCATGTTCTGAGTTAAAATTCTTGTTTCACATTGTAGGCAATTTTATAAACGTTCATGGTGTCTTCTGGGTATGTATGTGTGTTTATGTGTTGTCTTTTTATGAAACTACAACCAAAGGGATACTGCCTTTTAGCCCAGTAGAGCCATACATGTCTTGCATTATCACTTTAAAAGGAACATCAAGGCTGTCAGTTTCCTTTGGAGCATATACACATGGTCACATGGCTCTTTGCTGGCTTGTCTGTGTAGATCAGAGCTTTAGCCTCCTATTTGGTCATCACACAGAGATACATTGATTGGTTGAGATCGATGAGGTGCAGCACTGTTTTTAGAAGAGTTCTGTTACACCATAAATGTGCTGGTTTATTCCCGCTCCCAGATCTTTCATGTTTTTACCTTTTCTTATCCACTAATTTGTTTTGCCTTTAATGCATGTTGTATTTTGAGGTTGTTTGAAAATGTCCATCAAAATTATACTAAGATCAGGTATTTGTCTTTGAAATAGTCAATTCAATTAGCCATTATTTTTGTCAACGTGTGAGGTTATTATGTGTGCTTAAAAGATGGAACCAAGAGGTCTCACTTTTAAAAAGGAATGGTGTGGCGTCTTATCCTCATTTTTATATAGTAGAATCTTGTTTCCATGGGTACCAAATCATTGAGCTCCAAGGATGTGAAGCTATTAGTGGAGCTTGATGAATGTGTCTGTTTACCACTGCCTGATAACATCCAAGGCCAGGTGGGAGTGTTTGTGTGTGTGTCGGTGTGTATGCATGCTGCATTTGTATTTGTAACAAATGCGCTGTAATTGTATGAATCATTTGGAGGGCATAACTTCTGGCCTTTGTTTCCCAGTTTAACACCAGGGTGAAGAAGACGGCATGTTTTGACCATCTGGTACAGGCCAATGTGAGAAATAAAAAGCTGCTGCAAGATGCTGTGCAGAACATCACAGCCAAAGGAATTACAAACTACACAAAAGGATTCGAGTTTGCTTTTGAGCAGCTCTCTGCGGTGGGAAAAAGCATATTGTATATTTGATTACACACCAGTATGACTGAGAGCAGAGGGTTTTAATTGAGTTATCAATGGATGTTACCTATGATTCTCAAAAGTTTAGCAGCTCTGCTCTGTTGTCTTTCACTGCCATCTGCTGGTCAAATGAATTACTCCATCTTAACCCTGGACAAGGCCGAAATGTCTTGTTTTAGTTGAATGATTATGACCTGTGAGGGTGATGATGAAACCATCTTTATAGTGTGTTAACTAAACGTCGTGTCCATGTGAACAGTAGCATGTTTGAAAAGCATTTCGCCTTTCGGACAGTAGCTCATTATGACTAAATGTGTTCATTATCCTTCATAATAGACAAATGTGAGCAGGGCAAACTGCAACAAGATCATCATGCTGTTCACTGATGGAGGAGAGGAAAGAGCACAGTCCATACTGGAGAAATACAATGCTGACAAAAAGGTACTGCCTTAAGTTGAAATATTTCTTCAACATTTAACTTCCTCTATAGAATCATAGCCTAAACATAGCCCTACTCTTGTACATCTTCACTAATATGCAAAGATTTTGTGTAAACATACTTTCCCCAAAATTAGTTTTGCCCCAAGTTTGGTATCCTGATTAAAGTTTCTACAAGACCATAAGTCATACAAATGCACGCACACACAGACATACACACATACACAATGAAAAAATTATTGTGAAAAATAAGTGTTCACAAACCGATCATATATTGGAGAAAGAAAAAAACAACAACACTTTTAAGTAAGGCTTAAAGGTATTTGCTCCTAACACTGAAGCTGACTGTCTTGTTACAATAAAGTCATATAGTTCTGAGTTCTGATTTCTTTCTACAAAGTTATATTGTGAAGATGAAAGCTTCTGGTAAAGATTGCCACATTTGGGAAATCCCATTTCTCTGTGGGCATGAGGTTGGTCTGTGACAATGTTTATCTGGGTGTCATGTGTCAAAGTAAATCTTCACATGAATGCAATGACACATGTTTTCCCATCATATTATTGCATTGTAATGGTATGATCAATACTTATCACTTAACTTTGTGTATGTAGTTTTTTGTAAATGGTGAGTGTGAGAAACGGAAAATAACATTGTGGTGAATGCTTGGACAGATTTGTCATTTACTCTCTTTCTGTTTTTTTTCAAATTTTCTGTTCCAGGTCAGAATCTTCACTTTCTCTGTGGGGCAACACAACTATGATAAAGGACCCATTCAGTGGATGGCCTGCTCCAACAAAGGTGTTTTACATCAGAGTCAGTTTGTCGCTATTCTAGATTTTAGATGTAGAAGGAAAGAAGTAGTGGAATGTTTTCTAGGTGAATCAATAAAGGAATCCTGTCCAAAGAAAAGCCCAGCCTTTACTTCCTTTATTCTCATTTGGTGTTTCTTTTCTCACTGGGACTTTCCTCTACCCCTTGTTGTGACTAATTGTTTTTTGTTTGACAATCCAGGTTATTTTTATGAGATTCCCTCCATTGGAGCCATCAGAATAAACACACAGGTGATATTTTTTTATTCTTTCATTTGTTATTCACAGCATCACAGGTTAAGGAGCCTTACAAAAAAATTACACTGAGAAACCACAGCTATCAGATAACATAATTCTGATTTCAAGCCCTGCACCACAATCAGTTTTTTTATGTTGATTGATGCTTTAGTTTGCTTTCTTATGTTCTCCTTTTGACTTCATTAATTTAGGAGTACCTAGATGTTTTGGGAAGACCTATGGTTCTGGCAGACAAACAGGCCAAACAAGTCCAGTGGACCAATGTATACCTCGACGCTTTGGTATAAAATGACTTTTCAGTGTTTTGGGGAAAACAATATATATCTTTGTCTATACAAAGGGATATGCTCACATTTCATTATTATTCTCAGAAATGTTGTTGATTGATACTTTCGATTGACTCCCCATCAGGAGCTGGGTCTGGTCATAACTGGAACGCTGCCTGTTTTCAACAGAACAAAGACCATTGATGACAGGAATGGTGAGGTAAAGTAAACCAGTTAGTGAGGACATGGTGGGCAGCATCTGATTGTGTATGTGTGTTTTTTTCACATCTTCGCTCTCTTTGTCTCTTTTTTTTTCCTATCAGCACCAGAATCAGTTGATTCTGGGTGTTATGGGAATTGACGTGTCTCTTGATGACATCAAGAAGCTCACACCACGCTTTACAGTGAGTCAAACACCCCCATGTGTGATCACATGCATTTACACAAATGCATTCATCTCACTGAGTTTTGTGATTTGCTCAGTTTTGAAGACCCTGCTCATATTCTCCTCTCGTGTAATTAATGTGTCATATTCCAGTGAAGGTCATTCACACATATTTGAAGAATACAGTGATTATTTAATTATTCTTTTATCCATATTTTGAAACCTCTGAAGGCCTTAAAGCCTTTTTAAAAACATTTCCATGTTCCTACCATTACGCCAGACCTGTGTTGCCATGCTATCATAATTAAAGCATTTTCACGACACAAATGATTTCCCTCTACTCTATCACCTTTATATCAGATTGGTCCTAATGGATACTACTTTGCCATCGACCCCAATGGATATGTGCTGTTGCACCCCAATCTACAGCCAAAGGTATTTCATCTGGCACTATGTATCACTTTGTGCACCTAAGAATGTCAATTGTTTGATGCATTGAATTTAAATTCTTACTGTTTCACATAGTTTAACTGTGACCACTTGCCGTCAGTGAATAATATGCAGCCTAGCAGATGGTTCAGGCTCTTTTCAAACCATATGCCATCACCTCATCAATCTTAATGAAGAGAGCCTATTCCCCTGCTATGACTTGATATCATCAGTCCTTAAATATTGGCTGGAAGGCCACTTTTGCCATGTGGGATTTCACAGATATGAAGACTTGGCAGTGAGCTGGTATATATGTTTAACAATGAGGGACATAAAGAAACTCTTTGAGAAACTGAAGAGGTAATATGTTTTAAAGTGAAAATAGTATCTTAGACTTTAATGTATTTCACTTCATAAGGATAAAATGTTTTAGTACTTATGTTTGTATTTAACTCTTCACATATATGAAGGTTTATCAAATTAAAAAAGATTAGTATTATCATCATTTTGTTCAGTCACATATATGTTTTGGTAGTTTTTCTTTCAATAACATGATTAATATTTTGTGCATTGCTTAAGGTTTAAATATAAAACCCCACAAAACTGTTGAAGTGAACGAGCTCCAGGGTGTCGGTCTGGGTTTGAAAAAGCCCTGAGCAGTCTCACAATTTGTTAGATTAATGCAATATGACTTCTAGCCACTGGCAGTTATTTAGATATGACCCAGTAAAAAATACCCTTGACCCCACAAGAGATTCCAGCCCCCTTTTCAGCAAATCTCATTGCAGCTCACTACCCTCAGCCTTAGGCAAGCCAGCACTGACAAGCTGCATAAGAGCCATGTGTTCTCAGAAGCTCCAAAACCGCACCTCCTTGGATCTGAAGCTGTAAACCCCATACACTTTAAGACAACTGCATATTCTAATTATTTGAACTTTAGTTTGCGACTTTTATAAGTAGAATTATTCAAGTGCTGTTTATTTGTGTACATTAGCAACTCTAAGTCACTGAGATATCAATAACAGGTATAAACAACAAAATAGATTAATTTAATGATGCAGTAGGTGTTAAATATGGCATCTTGCATGGTGCATATTATAGCACATCATAATCCACAAATTACTTTAAAGGTTAATGTGATGTGGGATGTGATGTAAATCATTCTGTTATTAATATGGATTAGACAGTTGCAATTATTTATTCATACTTCATACCATTTTACCCTGGATAAAGCGGCTATGTTTGTTTGAAACTACTTTTCAACATGGTTTTTTGCCCTATACAATCCTACTTTCCACACATTTGAAATCTTCAAAAGTCATCAATATGCATATTCTTACAATTTTTCTAGAAAAGGATCCGTAACAGGAAGCTCAGACTCAATAATAAGTACGCTGTCACTTTTCATGAGGTGAGACGACGTAGATGCACTGTGAAGTGCAGAAGTAGTTTCTAGGTTGTAGACTTTTTACATGGTAGTTGTGTAGATGTAGCAACCACCATAGCATCTGGGATTTAGTGAGTACTTTTATGAGTAGGGCTTAATGGTCATGTACATATTTCTTTGCATGGGCATCTAAAGAGGAAGTCTGATCAGTATCTGATGATACTTTAACTGGATAATGATACTGTAATGTCAGTGTCAAGTAATGAACATAGGGACAGATTTGATATTTTTCCTCCCAGTTCCAGATTTACATTAACTAAAGATAAGCAGTCATGATTTCAGAAGTGCAGAAAGATTTTTACAGATTTAGTTAGGTTATTGTAGCATAGATATGGACATGGACATAAATGGCGAATTACTTTCAAATTACTTTACAGAGCACTGTGTTTGAACTAAGGTATTTCCCCATCACTTCTAAGGCAAATTGTAACGGACAAAATATGACTGTTGAATAATGTTTGTGCAGTTTCACCATCTGAATCTGAATTACGCCACCCAAAGATCCTGTACTGGAGCCATGTTTTTGTTTGATCTCACAGCCTGTTTCACCTCAACTAATCTCTTGCTGAGTTAAGACACTCTCACATTCATGCTTTCTTTCTCTTTTTTCACATGTCAAATTAGATACTTTCTTCTTGTTCTTTTTTCCCGCCGCCCAGTTTTTTTTTGCTGTTTTTGTTTGATTTCCAGTACTACATCTATCCAACTGTGTTTGCTGCTTTATTCTTCACCGCCCTGTGTTTTCCCTTTTCATCTTTCAGTCTTTCTTTTCTCATTTTCATGTTGAGATGCGTCATCTTCATCTTCTTCGTTTCCTGCTTCAATTTATTTCACTCATCATCACATGTAAGGACTTTTGTTAATGGTCTTAACTGTACACGATGGTGTCTTTTTTCTTTTTTATTGCTCTCTGCATTTCTGTACTGATAATGTCTCCACGAGTTTGACACCTCTCTAAGTCAAACTTTAGTATAACAATAAGTATATATGTATATACTTAGGCACCAAGTTTATACAATGTCACCCTATATTTTTGGTTTGAAAATTCTGGAGAGGACAGACTTGTATCAGATTCCATATACTGCTGTTTTACAGAGAAGGACTTCATTTGTGCCTCAATTTTATATCACCATAAAGCCACTCAGACGTATAGAGTTTTAAAGAGAGGACATTAATTGTGTTCAGCGTCATATGTTTCTGCTGTCAGATATAACGTCAAAAGAGTGACATATGGTATATGTTGCTCTTTCAATTTTCAGCAAATAAATGTAAATCTTCTAGCTATTTCAGAATAGATAAGTGAAATTCATATTTCTCTATTGACACTTAAATGAATAAACCCTTTGTTACTCTGTTAAAGCTCCAACAGTTCCCTCAGTGTTTCTTATCAATGTACTAAAACATAATGTGAAATGATACAAAGCATATATTTAGTGTGGGACATCACAATATGTATGGACAGTGATCTTACTGGTGGACATAAAATACGTATTACTATGAGTCATGAAGCAGAAAAGTCACAGAAAATTACAGTTATATTATTTTTTGTGAAAGACAGAACGGTCCAAACATGTAGTCCGACAATTTGTCAGGGAATCGTGTATGTTTACTTTGTCCGCCTCAGCTCCTGTAGATCCAAAGCAGTTATTCCTGCCAGATTTGCCAGAAGAGTTCACAATTGAAACACAGAGATAAACATAGGTATTAGTTGCTGCTGTGGCTGCAGCCAAATGAACAGCAAGACCAAAAGAACAAGAGCTGTTACTGCATTCAGTAAGACATGCATGGGTTGATCAGTCTGTTGTAAAAATGCTATTATTTTTTTTTTAAATATAATTAGTCTTAATTACTATTTGCATTGTTTTGTAATAGTCTCTTTAGAAAAGTTTGGAAAGCAATGTAAAAAAATATAAGAAGTAATGTAATGCAGTTGAAGCCAGCCCATGTGACTGCCAAGCTGCCAGTGACCCCATAGATGCAGAAAAAGGCACACATTTAAGGGTTGAAAGCATTGGCAGCACTTCAGTCTAAACCCACAGAGAAGAAGTGAATTCCTCTATGTGGTTGACTTATATTAAGCATAGACCCCTTAAAGGAGTTACGTTGTTAAATAGTTCACTGCACTTTATAACATTTCTCTCCGTCAGTTCTGCAAGCGTTTGAAGAAGTGGTAGAAGACAAGAAAAACTGCATCCAGATTCGTTGTTTTTTAGTAGATTTTTTACTGTTTTTTAGATTTGTTTGTGTGCAGCTTTCTTATGTCAGACTTCAAACTGAAATACTATCTCTACCACAGAATCCTAAATTCCAGGAGCCCGTTACCTTGGATTTCCTCGATGCGGAACTGGAGAATGACATTAAAGTGGAGGTAACATGAACAGACACATTAATTCTTGCATAAGTTTTCCAGATATCCACCTGGTTAGCCCCATATTGATTATATGGACACATGACGCTCTCTGTTTTCAATCGTACAGGTATTCAGTTGATCAGATTCAATCACGAGAGACTTAAGATAATCATCTCTGTAACTCTTGATTTCTTTATGCAGATTAGAACAAACATGATTGATGGTGAGATAGGTGAACGCACCATTCACACTTTGGTGAAAACTCAAGATGAGGTATGAAACTGTTAACTTATTATGTTAAAATTGTGTTATTTAAAAAAGTGTTTTTTTTTTACTTAATTGTTATCAAATTATATTCTTCTATTCATTTTCACATTAAGTCAAATCAAATTGTTATTCATTTATGTGTACTTAACAAATAATACACTTCATCATCTCAACTATATGAAACTCTGGTGATTTAGGGTTTTGTGACTCTTAAAGTTTGATAAAAACATTAATTTTCCCTCAAACTCTTTCCTATTTTTGGAATTTAAGTAGGTGTATTGGTGCATAGAGGCTTATCAGGTCACTTGAACTAATCTTTCAAAGCAGATCATATTTTTTAGGAAGTAGAAAGACCCCACCTTCTGTTTTTGTTTTTCAATAATTTCATTTTCTTTCAATAAATCTGTTAATGCACAATTGAACTTTGCTCAATTAGTCCCTTGATGAACAAAATATTTTTTTCAGCATAAAAAAATATTTTCCACCTCTGTTAACCTTATGCTCATGTTGTAAAGTAGCACAGAATCACTCACACAGTCAGCACAGAGTAAATAAACACTTAGAGGAGGCAACAATGAAATGATCCATGCAAGTTTTACCTGGGTTTATCATCTCTTGTAGAGATACATAGATAGAGGAATCAGGACCTACACGTGGGCACCAGTCAATGGAACAGATTACAGGTGAGATATTTTGCATGGTGTTGACTTATGGCCTGTCAAGCTTTCTGTATACCTTCTACAGTGGAAGAAACTGCTTTAGCCAACAGGGGGCACTCTCCTGCCTCCTAGCTCTGCTTTTTAAATTGGAAACATGCTAAAAAAAAATTCTTAAAATTTAATTGAGTGGTTCAAACATTTCTTACAGAGTTCCAATATGCAGTAAGTCTGACTTGAATCTTTTTTTGCAGCCTGGCACTTGTTTTGCCAAAATATAGCGAGCACTTCATTCAGGCTAAGCTGGGGGAGGATATAAAACAAGTGACATGTGAGTATGACAAACACACAAACAAATAAATGAGATTTCTCTGCGTTGGTGTCTCTCACAATAGTCTCCCATGCAGGCTTTCTCTCGGCTGAGCATCCCTACTTGCTTTGAATTACTTTTTGCTCGCTGAAATCTCAGCCACTCCTTTGTATTTGCAGCTCAGATCAGCAAATCCCCGCTGCGCTTGTCTTTTGTAGAGTAACCCACTGGTCAGTCTCCCTTCTCTCCCACACAGCTAGTCCACATGCTTTTCATCTTACATACCCAGCATAAGTACAGAGTCTTTGATCTTGTATGTGTTTTGCACTTCTGTCCCTCTTGACTTGACCTCATCAGGCCCTTCTGGTTAAGAGGAAAACAAAGCTCATTTATTTTGTGATTGTCATCTCCAGTACCAAAGAGTTTTTTTCTTTCTGTCTTTACCATATCAAATACATCGAAGCTGTCAACTCCACATTATACTTCATTCTTAAGCATACCCCCCATTATTGTGCTTTCAAGGCTGTCTCGCTCAGTGATATTTTAGTTTAAATTGCTCTGAACATTCAAAATATGATAGTTGCTCATGAATCTATACTCATGTATACACATGCTATATGTACAATTAATTGCTTTATGACTGTTATTGATTTTATCTCTGTTTCTTTCTCCTGTGTTCACATTTTGCAGCTTCTCCCTGGGGCAAGTACTCTCTGTTTTCTATCGTCTTTGCATGTTCGTTTTACATATGTTTGCATAGTTGAACGTCATCATACAATAGAAGGCAACATTTTTGGGGGAAAAATAGTATTCTGAAAAACAAATTCAAGGGAGAAGGTTGAAATGACACATCTCTTTAACATAATAAATAAGGATGCCTTTATGGACAGTTACAAAATAAAAAGTTACAAGGAAAAAAGATTGAAGACGCCAACACAAAAGGTTAAGCAGTACTTACTGAGAGTAGTAAAACCCTTTTTGGCAAGTATGACAGCTTGTAAATATGTTTTCTATGCAGCTGAAAGTCCTATAGCTTTGGTTTGGGGAGGCTATGGACTTTATAGGCTGTCCTGCATACAGTTCTCAGTGAGGTAAAACTCAGATGGTCACTGTTGATTTTGAAATGTACTCATTATCACCGTCATCCTAAAAATCCATCAAGTTTTCATATCCGGCTTTTTAAAAAAAAGTTAGATATAATCATGATTTCTTGGGTATTTAATTGATTCCAATCGATCAGTAAAACTTGCGTCTTGAGATTCACTGAGTCCAAGCCACAATTTATCCAATACCCAATACAAGCTTCTTTTCATACCTTTGCTCATTGCAGTAAATGGATAATAAAGGGATATTATACATTTGTCTGATTCTGGTGCAAAGAAGATACAGCAAAGGTATTTTTCTGATGACCTCCATTAAAGCAATGTACAGGGCTTTGGCACTACTGAGTCGCAATGTTTTCAGAGTCTCAATTCAAGGTGTTTTGAATTCAAATACAGGTTATGATTGCATATGGGTTAATATTTCCAGCAATTATCTCCTTTTCTACAAGCCTTATTATATTCCATGCCTATAAAAGGCAACTGTTTAGCAGATCTAAGACTACAATGGACTAGTTAATCTAGAATTGTTGAAAATTAATGTTTCATTTGCCTTGAAGGCCATAGTAAATTATTTTGTGCTTGACCAAACAAACCTCTGAATGATGAATACTGATCACAACTTATTCAAAGCTAAATAAATTTGCATTTGCATTGATCAGGCAGTATAATGAGTATGAAAAATTCCAGTTTCAGCACAGGGTTGTGTGTTTTTTTATTGAATTTTTCATAGCTTTAACATAACGCTACAAAGCACAAACATCTATGGTGTGGTTGTTCTAACAAATGAGATTTTGAGTGAGTGTTTCAGCTTCTCTGTCACTACTCCCCTGCTGTAACGAGTCTGTCACTGTGCCATAAACCCTGTCAGCACATTTATAGGCCTGTTAAGGAAAGCAACACACCCGCAGCCTTAGTGCTGCAGACTTCTTCAATAAGGAGTTTAGGACTCTGAAGTTGTCCATCGTGCTATATAGAATTTCATGTTGGAGCCAGACCACCAAAACATGGAGTGGGGGGGGGTTCTATAGCCACTTGCCCTCTTAATATATTAGTGAATGTCTTTAGCCAAGGGTGTGATGGATGAATGTAGTTTTTTTCTTTCATCTATATCTGAGTTATGCTGTATTTGTTGGATAAATGACCTAATACTGGAGTTGAAGAGATGGTGACAGATAAGTAAAGAGCAAGAGAAGGAGAAGGAATCAAATGGTGTGGAAAGAAACACCCTGCCCAGTCTATTGAGGCAGGGTGACAATGAATGTGCTTGTTATGTATTATATGGTAAAACATTGTTTCATCCTGCACCAGATTTCCAGGACCCCAAGGAAACTCTGCACTCAGTAATTGCTTTCACAGACTCTAACATATGAGTCAATATATTTTAAAGGCATTGTCCAAATTTCTTCATTTAAGAGTCCAGAATTAATGATGGCCATTGATGCCTGTGATGTTATTTATGAGATAAGAAATACAAGCTGGCATTTACAATTAAATCCAGAGTCAGGAGAAGGAAAAAAATAATATATATTTTTTTTTTGTGGTACCAAAGTGAATTTATTGTTTTACATGATTATCCAGTAGATTGTAAAAAGCAAAACATAAAAGATGACAAACTGCACCACACAGTTCTATTTCCATGTAAGTCGTTTTACCCTTAGAGCTGATATTCTGTCCTCACAACTTTTTTTTTAAACTTCTGTGAGAGAGAATCACACATTCCAGCATCTTTCCCCAGATATGACATCACTTGTCAGATGATGAATTATAACGCTTTGTCTTTTCTGCTTTTGTGTCTCCCCGACACTTTCTCCCTGGGGTCACAACAGGGCAAGAAGGCAAGTATTTCTCAGTCAGTTACTTTCTCATGCCTCCCCACTGCTACTCCAGTCACACTCTCTACTTTAATCCATCACCTCATATCTGTCCAATATGTTTTGTGTCTGTGCACATGTGGATGTGGGAGCCAGGTATGGAATGTGAACTGTCATATCCATGCATCAACGCAAAAGCGTTTCCCCCCAAAAGAAAAAGAAAAAGAAAGAAAATATTATTTTCATGATGTATCATTTCAATACTTATAATCTAAAATTTTTTAAATATGAAAAATGCTTGTTTTATTTTTATAAACTTATTTGACGATATATGATAATAACAAATACATTTTCTGTTATTAAAAGCTATGAGGACTATGCAGCCAGAGGCCTTTGATGAATATGGTCATACCCTCATTGCCCCAAGGTGAGAGATCTTCATTTTACAGGACAACAAAAGTGTTTCAGATATTCCATTTGATCAATGCTGTTTCTCCAGGGAGTTCTGCAAAGACCTGAAGCTGTCACTCAACAACAGTCAGTTTCTCCTTGACTTCAACCAGTACATTGATAGAAACATTTCCGATACATGTGAGTCATTCGTCCTTCTCTCTGCTGTTTCATGCTGGTTGCGTCAAATTCAGGCCCTGTTTATATGCACATTGAACGTTTTAGTAGAAACCTTTGCGCCTCTAATTAATGTGAAGGCACTTTTTTTTACACACATGAATTTAGAGCATGTCTTTTTGTTGTTACAGTAAAATATACAAATACCATTTCCCACTCAGAGGTTGTGGTGGTGAGTACGGTCAATGCCCAGTAAACAAGGTGACATCAGACTTATCGATTGGATTTCCTAGAAGCGTGATGCCGTCACTGTGTTCAATTCCTCATTCTTTATTCAATCAAACTGATAGTATGCCACCACTATCCAGCTGACCGATCAGCATGTCATGGATCCATTTTTACCCAAGGCCAAGTCACATTCTGTTATTATTTTGAGTCTCCATCAAAAAGTTATGGGCATGGTTTCACACTTAGGTCTTGCTGTGTGGGAACTGAGCTGAACTCTGGGGGTAAAGAAGCTCCAATTAGTTCAGTTTTACAGTGAATTTTCTTGACAGTGAGATTGAAACTCACAAACTACTGTCTCTTCTCTGCATTATATACGCTGCCTGGTTCTTTCATCTGGACAATTTACTGTAGCCCTGTACATGTAGTGGGATCCTAGTTTTTGTCTTCATGTACCTAGTTTCATGTCGTCTTTATAGTCTTGTACAGTTCAGCAATAAAAGGGCTTGTGTGCTTTGCTCAGAGCATTGTGAGGTGCATTTTATTGTTTGTTTGTTTTTTTTGTGAAGACAAGAGTCGAGCATATACATTTTCCATGGCCTAAAAGACTTAAAGAGACTTTTCCGTGTACTGCTATTGTGGTGTTGCAATACCTGCAAAGAAAAAAAGATTTTTTCTTTGGTTTGTAGGCAATGTTTCCCTTGTGAATCGACTGATCCTGGATGCAGGTCTGACAGCTGAACTGGTTAAACTTTGGAAAGAGGAGACAGTGTAAGTGCCAAACAGTCCAGATTTTTTATGCTTTATGCAATGCAAAGATGCTGTATTCTTCAAATTACAGACACATGAGCTGCCATGGTATAATGACAATAATAACAATAATGATAGTAATTTCTCATATTGAATTCTGTGTTACATTTGTACATTTTTCTCTAAAACTACAATTGCAGATGCTTGTTCCATGCACCATTTATTGCCCAGTGGAGCCAAAGATTTAGTCCTTTATTATCTACTTTGGATGATCTATTCTTAACATTGAAATGACATGAAAGCAAAGCACAAAATATGTATTACACCCAACATTCTGATCTGATCCAAGATGTGCTGTTTTGGAGGGAAACAAAGTAATTGCATCAGTCTGTTCCTTTTTATTTTATCCTGTCATTTTGGAAATAATCTGAGCACACATCTGCACACTGAATGGTGTACGTTTAACGTTAGGACATACAAATAGGACATACTCAAAGTGACAGGAAATATAAGTCTTTGTTTCATGTATACAGTTTGATCCCTATTAGTCCCAGTAATTGTGAATGTTATTGAATATGACATTTGATTGGCTGTTATATTTCATGTTTTCAGGGATGGGGCTGTGGCCAGGTATGTTGCCACGGATGGAGGAATAACAAGAGTGTATCCAAGAAGGTACTCTTCCCTATTTCTTCTCAATTTCACTGTATGAAATATCACAAGTGGCGGGGAGTTCCTGAGGGGAGTTTGCATGTTCTCCCTGTGTCTGCGTGGGTTCTCTCCGGGTACTCCGGCTTCCTCCCACCGTCCAAAAACCTGCATGTTTGGTTGATTGGACATTTCAAATTGCCCTTAGGAGTGAGTGTGAGTATGTGTTGTTGTTCATCTCGGTGTGGCCCTGCGATGGACTGGCGACCCGTCCACAGTGTACCCTGCCTCTCACCCTCTGACCACTGGGATAGGCTCCAGTCCCCCCGAAACCCCATTTGGGAATAAGCGGTTCAGAAAATGGATGGATGCAATATCCATGCTATTGTTCCAAATATATGGTATTATAAGTGCATGCAAACAGTAATACTCTTAGGTTGAGTAGCTTTGGCTGATCCGCTCACCTGCTCCTTCAGGTTTTGTCCAGAGCATGGAGAGTTAGGCCCTTTCAGTTGAACTGCCACAGCTGCCCAGGCCACAATGGGATCAGAGTCAGACCCTAAAATTCTGCTGCCAAAGGCTGCTGATTTTCCTTAATTTCATCCTTGCAGAAACTGCTTAATTGACAAACATGACACATACATAAATGAATTAATTAATTCAGTCATTACTTTTAATGAATGGTGCTCTCCTATTAGCCACATTTGGTATAAGTCCTAATTTTTGCAATTTGATTTGGCTCAGAGAAGTAAATGTGTTATACTACATAAATATATTAACATTTTCAGTGCTGGAGAAGAGTGGACTGAGAATCCTGAGACGTACGAGTCGAGCTTCTACAAGAGGACCTTGGATAATGAAATATATATATTCACAGCTCCATCTTTCAACAGTAAGTGTGCATGTTTCTGTGCGTGAGAATTTTCAGTGTGGTCTGGAACTGAGCCTGTTCTGTTCACTGCCTTTGGACGCATTCCCAACCCTACTGGCAACGATTAGACTCTTAGGCCTCTGATATCACTCTCTTTATCCTTCTCCCTTTCCTGCTGTGCTCATCCCCACCCTCCCTCTATCCCTGTATACATCCTGTCATCTCCACTGATCTCTCTAACAGACACCAGGACAGGCAAATGTCAGTGTTGCAGCTACAGTGCACTTGACAGGATTAACACATGTTCTGGCCTCACAGAGCCCATGTCCAAAAATTGCAGCTACAATGCTCGGAATTTTCAACACAAAACAAAACTTTACTGTAATTGCTATCATTTATATGATTATGTTTACTGACAAATTATCACTCTGGTGTACTTTAAACTTACGTTCAGTTGAATTGTGTGTCTTCACTTGTGCATACTTTACATATTCCAGCAGAGGCCAGGGAGTCTGCATCTGAGTCGGGTATCCTGGTGAGCAAAGCCGTGGATCTCATCATCGATGAGGTCACGCTCAAACCAGCAGGTTTGTCTTACTAATGCCAGACGGACTGCTTCTCTTGATGCAACACAAATCAACACACCAAAATCTTTCTTTATTGTTCGTGTTCAGTGGTGGGAGTGAAACTCAATGTCTCCTTCTGGATGAATAGTTTCATTAATGCCACACTGAAACTGAATGTAAGTGCCGTTAATAAGGTCTCAAATATTGTTCACAGCGTACCTGACAACTTTATCTGTTAATGTGAATCTTTAACCTTTCACAGTGTAAGGATGAAATCTGCGGCTGTCTGAGGAATGACAAGGTACAGCATGGCAGAGAAACTCAGGACATAGTTTTTGTGCTTATTAAAGGCAAAAATGTGGTCAAATATTGTCTCATCATATTTTTGTACATGGTTTGAAAAATTCTATGAACTTGTTAAACTTAATGAGATATTTTCAGGTTTCTTACACTAACCTTTATTCCACTTCACTATTCTGTTTTTTTGTTTTTTTTGCAGCATGTAGACTGTGTTTTATTGGATGATGGAGGATTTCTTATTATGTCCAATCAAGAACTGTACATTTCCTTGGTGAGTTATTATCAACAATTATCGAATATTATTGTGACTTAATATAAGTTGCCCATTTGTCATGTATTTTCATTTTCATGTTATCTATTGCCATCTATGTTCATAAAATAGAAGGTACTATATATCATGTCTTAATAAAGCAGTCTTATAACCAAAATAAGGGAAATCAGAGAATTTGCTGACATATTTTTATCTCCTTCATTCTGTTTTTCTACCTCTCCAGAAACAAATTCTTTCTTGTCTTTCTCATAGTAATTCATCAATCTCAGATAGAGGCCAAATAGAGGCCAAATAAAGACCTTATGACTCAGCTAAGTTATTGGAATGGCCAGTTTTCTCTGAGCTGTACTCCTTCAGGACAGCAATGCCCCAATGTGTCTGGTAGAGAAAAGCTCGATCCACTGGAGGAGGATCAAAGGGAAAGTTGATGGGTTTTAGTCAGTCATGGAAGCTGTGCTGAAGCTGTGTCCCCGGTGTACGTAAGAAGTCTGCTCTGCTGCATTAACTCTACCCTTTCTGGCTGCCCTCGGCCCCTGCGTGTCACTGCCAGGATATACAGTACAATTCGTTTTGAAACATTTTACATCAGTCAAGATGGGACATTAGCTCTCTTTGATCTGTTTTACCATCACAAAATCTGACAAACAGTTTATCTCCTTCAAGCATTTGGAGTAGGACCTTTTTATTTTATTTTTCTCAATATTAACTTTTTGTTGCCCACCGGAACCTTTCAGATCACTTTTTGTTCTTTGTGTTCTTGAGTAAGTAAGGTACATATAGAAACAAAAGTCAACATTTCCAATGGTCGACCATTTTTAATGTTTTCTATAGTTTATTTCAGTTGCTGGTACTTTCAGTTTTTAGCTGAGAACTCTGAATAGCCTGCTAGAGATCAGCTACACTATACAATACAAAAAAGTTAACTCAAAGAAAACAAGACCCATATCTGCAGGCTTTTTTTTTCCTTACAAGAAAAGACTTAACAGGCATAAACTGACTAATTTGTTTCTGTGTGCATGTGTATGTATACATGTAAACTCCTCTAGATCGGTCAGTTCTTTGGTGAAGTGGACCCAGTGCTGATGATCAACCTGGTCAACACCTCCCTGTACTCCTTCAACAAGACGTACGACTATCAGTCTGTCTGCGACCCTGAGAAAGACAACAAGGCGGCAGCAGGGCCCCGCTCCGTCTATGTGGTGAGATAACTCATTTACACGGGCTGTCACAACGCATTCACCCTCTTTGACATTATTATTGTTAACAAACTAATGCATTTATGTGACACCGTGTTGACCTACCCAAATTTATTTACCCATCCTTCTCCAGCCTACTATTGCAGACTTCCTCAGTATTGGCTGGTGGGCCTCCAGTGCTGCCTGGTGAGTGTATAGGTTGTGTGCTCTTTTAAATGTGCGCATTTACCTTTGAGTGTAGGAGTTTACCTTTGAGTGTAGGAGTACACATATACTTCAGAGGTAAGAGTGTGTATGAGTGTGCACTGGCATGTTGTTGAGAGAAGAAGCTGGCTGGGTCAATGTAGGACTTGAGCAGTTACGCAATATTAAGCTGCATCGTTTTCTAGATGGCTGTCCAAATGCAATATAACTGGCTTTTAAAATAGACCAGCTAATACTTCCCATGACATTTACATCACCAGTGACTAACCTTAGACAGATGTCTTGCTTCTAAAAAGCAGCTTTTGGATGCTTTTTGTAAATAAATAAAAAAATAAGAAGCTCAGATCCGTCGACCCATATGTGACTGGAGATGTTTTTGGCTTTATCTTTATTTCAGGTCAATTCTTCAGCAGCTTCTCTTCGGTCTCTTGTTTCCCAACCTTTTACAGGAAGGTGAGCAATATATCATAAAACTGTGCATAATAACTGTACTGATTTTGATTAACAGTATCTTACTTTCTGTCACAAACACTGACTGTATATAACAGGCGAGAATCACAGGGTTGTGGGTAGTTGCCATAGCATGCATATGTTACCTTAAGCAGCTTAGTCTTTAATGGTTTTTCACTTTTTCACTTTAATTTAGGTACAATTCCAACAAGTGAAATATTACTACTGCCCAAACTGCTCCCTACTTAAAACATTCAAGGATCTTAAGTTGTCGACACTTCCCAGTGGCTGTTGTTTTAGTCCCTCTTCCTTCCTGATCCTCCTCTGTGACTTCTCTAATTCCGTAAAAAAAAAATGTGTTTGTTTTCAGTGGAATCAGCAGATGAGGAAATTCCAGATGCCATGTTCAAAGAAAGCTGCATCACAGAACAGACTCAGTACTTCTTTGACAATGATGAAAGATCCTACTCAGGTGTCCTGGACTGTGGAAACTGTTCCAGGTGTGTCCAATCTTTGCTTATTGGAGAATCAGATCTGTGTGTGCTCCACTCTAACATTCCCTCTCCATACATCCTGTGAATGTATTAGTATTTAAGCCTTTTCCCCTCTGATCCTTGGCTGGACATCCTTCTGTTTAGCTGTCCTAGATAATTGATCCAGAAAACAGTGTGTTTCCATGACAATGTGATTTCAGGCAGTTGTTTTCAGAGGAGCTCTGAAGGCTAATTACCTTAATCTGTCAGTAACTGCTTTATTTAGTTGTTTTTCACTCTTTAAGAGTACTTCAGGCTCACTTATCCACAGAGCACTGCACATTTGCTTCACTCTGACCTCCGTTTTTTGTGTCATGGTGCTGTGGTAGAGGGTTAAATATGGCTATAATTACTGGGTGTTATATGTCTCAAGTGGCTGATGCTTTACTCTCAAAAGTTAACAACTGTGGACACAGAAACTTTACTGGCGATCATAAAATGCCAATTCCAAGAGGATAGAAGTGCATATATGTGCATTGCTAAACACATTCTTCTAAATCCAGTGGGGATTTAATACAGCATACAAATTGGATGTGCAAGACACCATCAAACTGTAGGTATATTACTGTCTTTATGAATGCTAACTGTGTTCTTTTCCAAGGATGTATCGAGCTGAGAAGCTTCCCAACACCAACCTCGTGTTTTTGATCACTGATGCGAAGGCAACATGTTTGTCGTGTGACCCCAGGCCACTTCGTCAGGCTGAGCAACCCTGTATCCTTTCACTCAACTCATAAAATTGACAAAAGTTACACTTCCTTTGTGCTCTCCAGTCCTCCATCTGTCAGGCACAGGACAGTGGGGGCTTAGGCTGTCAATACAAGGACATACTGAGTTAAGGAGTTTGTACGAGGTCCCTGGTGAATGTTCACCTGTGAACAGTAAACCAGATGCACAGCATATGAAAGGTGGTCTCACATTACTACTGACTGGGATCGCTTCGTAAAAAAATCATCTTAGCTACAGATTGCCATCAGGCTGAATTAAGTTTAGGACTAGGATTGTGTTTGAACTATGGAAGTGTATTTATTTTCAGGATATAAGTTTGACACATGGGTTCTGACAATAGCTTCGGGCTGATGCAACAGTGACAGTGTTGTTGGGAACAAGTCATAGCATGGCTATTGCTCAAAATTGTAATTATACTAAGGCATTGTTTTGTTTTATCTTTCTATTCTTGGCTTAATAGAAACTTAGAAACTAAATTGGAGACTCTTTAGCCACCATTGATGAACTTACACTGCATATAGCTTTCTTTGAAAAAGTTGTTCATTACAGAAAAGATCATCACATTGCATCCTCGTGACCATATAGAAATGTTGATATTTCAAAATACTGTGCATTTTAATGAGTTAAGTGCAAGTCATACAAAAGATATTTGTAAATAAATTAAGAAGTCAAATGGTTTGAAAAAATTTTTTTTAGCACTGATAACAATTCATATTATCCTGAGTGTTTGCTCAGCTGAAGGTCCAAATCCATGTGACTTGGCTCAGAATCCTCGATACCGCAAAGGACCAGACGTGTGTTTTGACAACAACGAGGATGTAAGACACAAACACATGTTACGCTTTTTGCAAAGAGTATTGCTGGGAACAGCTCTATTAGTGAGCTAAAAGGGTTGGCCTCTGTCAATAACCGCCTGTTTTGCATCACATTATAGCTGCCTGACTGCTTGCCCATTTTATTTTATAGCTATTTCTTTATCCACTTTCTTTTTTTCAAAAAAAGATTAGCAGGCTGTAATATATATATTATGTATTTAATTATTTATTTTGATAATTTTCATAAGTTTTGGATGCACTCTCATTAAGTTTTATTTGTCTTGCTTTGTATCATCTTATTACTAATCATCTCTCATTCTCATTTTGTGATTCTGCATGCCAAGGATGAGCCTTTGTGTCCAACCAGCAGAGGTTCTACGTTCAGCATTACACCGTTTTTGTTGTTTCTGGTTCTGACTTCAGGGTCAGTGACATCACAACTTCACAAAATTTCATTTCCGACATAGCGCACCCAGGCCGTACAACGTGATATTAATACTGTGAGCTAATGAAATGGCATATGTTTTACTTTACGATGTGATATTTGTCAAGTACCATCAAGGTTATTCTCCATCTTTAATGAACAGTCACACTCAACCCATCTCAGGAGTATTATTTCTAAACTATATCACATACAAATGTAATAAATTAATGTAATAAGTTAACTTAAATACCATTACATTAGTTGTTGCATGGCATAACTGGTAGCAAAAATGACCATATGCCTGCAGTTGTAAATGTCCTTATCTCAAGATCAGAAGATGATTGCTTTTCTGTTTGCATTTAGAATAACACTGTTGATGTTCTCAGGATAATGTTACCCAGAGAACAAGCTGTGTTTTCTCAGATTCCATGATAATTATGGAGGTTGAAAAGTAAACATGATTCATTTGATCACATCTTATGAGACGATTTCTGTGATTACTCATGGGGAAGATACCCAAACTGCTAATCTAGTCAATTATACTGTGTATAGATAGAGATATTGACATAGATTAACCTGTTATCAAAACAAAACAAGGTTTTTTTTAAAATACTTCAACAACTAAATTATAACTCATGATCTTCAGATTGTCAAGACCTTTGTCATTCTGTAAAGAACCACAGAGACTCTAACTGATATTTGGTGAAAGTTATGTAGAGAAACTGCATCATGCCACAGTGACAACAACACGTGGAATATTTCAGTGTCAGGTGAACGTCGGGTGAACTTGTTTTTAGCTTCAGCTACCTCTGAGAAGTCTATGTGATGCACAGTTTGAGCGAAATCAATGAAACAAAGGAGCACAGAAGATAAATCATATGTAGGAAAAATTACATCACCACCCAATTTTGAACAATTTATAGGAAATCTAAATATTTGGTGGAAAATGTTTTTCATATCTTTGTGATCCCTGCCTTTCATTGTTTTGTGAAAGCGTAAACCATACAAATAACAGGACACCAATTCATGAAAGTTTATATTATGGAGAGACGTTTCTATGAAGCAAAGGGGAGGGGATGAATGGGTGAGGAAGTGGATGAACAGAGTAAAAAGTAGGTCGTCTCCCCTTTACTTCTTTTAGCTGTCCCATTAATTTTGGCGCTGCTCTTCACACGAAGGCACCTTGTGTCCAGGCCAGTCCCTTTTGTCACTGGTATAAACAAAGGAAGTGTCACGTGGCTCTCTCCTTTGACTAGAGAAAACTCCCACCTCTTTTTCCGAAGACCCAAACACATAAATCATAGTCACATGTTACAGAGGGCAGGTGTTCCAAAGTACAGTCCACACAAATTAACAAAAAGACAATGAGATGGGAAACACTTGCGTCTATGTATACATATATATGTGTGTGTGTGTGTGTGTGTGTGTGTGTGTGTGTGTGTGTGTGTGT